AGGCTGTTGCAAGAGTCTGTCATGCCCAGCATCCAGTCAAGGGAAATCCTCAAAGATCAAGAATTAGCAATATTGTTGAATCATAGATAATCTATTTTCCTCCTGAAATTCACCAACCTCGATATATAATGATCCTGTGAGAAAATATTTCAAGAGATCAGGAAGGATTTTTCACAGGATTTTTCAGAATGTATGAAAGCCAGACCTAGCTGGTCTAAGGAAAGTAACAATACATTACATTTTTGTTGTTGTTGTTTGCTTTTTAACCCAAAGAAGTGAAACATAGAAGTAAAATCTAGACCTCCAAACCAGAAATAGGAACATGTGAAAGCCGATATGTGAATTGATGTGACACTTTAGTATATCTCTAAGCAATTCATAAGGTTCATGACAACAGCTGGCCCCTCTTAAAGTTCTTTTTTCACTGGTTCTTTTAAAAAAAAATGATTCCAAATTTGTATGAAACAGTGTGTGGAAGAGATATGTTTGATTTGACTTGAAGTACTTTAATGGGTAACATGCTCAGATGGCTACATACATAGTGACTGGAAGTGAAAGATGAATTCTATTATGGTTATAAAAAACAAGAACATCTTCAATTAATTCTAGTCTGTCTAGCTCTTTCATGTTAGTGGCTAAATATATAGAATTATTTTTTTAAAGGGTAAGTATCTGAAAAAGCATAACCTGCCATTTATTATTTATTTAAAGCATTTCATGGATTTTATCCAACAATATCACCAGTATGACCTATAGTAGTTCTAAGTCCAAATAAAATTTTTTATGTACAGGTTAACCCGACCCATTTAGAATACCAACTGGACATCTGTGAACAGGAAAATTAGACAGCAACTGTCCCTTGTTTTTCCTTAATTGTGAAAAGCTTTGTTAAGAGTATTTTTTTTTAATGCCTCATTCATGAAAACTAATAGTGTTGAGGGGAGGAGGCCATAGTCCCAGAGCTAGGGAGGACTTGCCTTTGGGGACCAGCAGAAGTGTGCCCAGGTATAGGCTAAAGTAGATCTGAATTAAAATGGGGTTGGGGTGCCCTTGTAATCATGGAAGCAGAGAGTCAGGAAACTAGAAATAAGAAAAGAGATTGGGATTTGACCTTCAAAATTGAAGTTTCCAATCTTGCCTGTGACCAAAAAAATCTAAGATGTTCCAAAAGAGGAGAGCATAAGATTCTAAGGTCTGTTTCAAACTCAACTTCCAAAAAGCCTTGACTAACTTAGTCTTAATTGAGATCATTACAATTCTCATTGTGCTTTGTAGGAGATCAGTTGGTTGTAGGTAGATGATTTTATTTCTGTGTTCTCTATTCTGTTCCACTGGTCTGTGTCTCTACTTTTATACCAGTACAATGCTGTTTTGGTTACTATATAGCCTTGTAGTATAATTTGAAGTCAAGTAATATCTCCAAGATTTCTTCTTTTTGATTAAGATTGCTTTGGATATTTGGGGTCTTTTTTGGTTTCAAGTGAAGTGTAGAATTATTTTCTCTAGATCTGTGAGAAAATAAAATATATGATGTTGATATTTTAATGGAGATTTGTTGAATCTGTAAATCACTTTGAGCAGTATTGGATATTTTAACAACGTTGATTCTACCAATCCGTGAGTATGAGATGTTTTTCCATTTGTTTACACTGGGGAAAGGAAACCATATTCAATAAATGGTTCTAGGAAAACTGATAGCCACATGCAGAAGAATGAAACAGAACCCTCATCTCTCACCATATATAAGAATTAATTCGAGGTGAATAAAAGACTTGAATGTAAGGCACAAAACTGTAAGAATTCTACAAGAAAATATAGAAAAAACTCTTCTACACATCTGCCTAGGTGAGGAATTTATGACTAAGACCCCAAAGGCAAATATAGCAAAAAAAAGTAAATAAATAGGACTTAATTGAATTAAACAGCTTCTGCAAAGCAAAGGAAATAATAGAGTAAATAGACAACCTACAGAATGGGAAAAAATACTCACAAACTATACATCCAGTAAAGGGAAAATATCCAGAATCTACAAAGAACTCAAACAAACCAGAAAGTAAAAAAAAACAAAATAACCCCATTAAAAAGTGGGCAAAAGACTTGAACAGAAGTGTTTCAAAAGAAGATAGACAAATGGCCAACAAATATATAAAAAAATGCTCAGCATCACTAATCATCAAGGAAACAAATTAAAACTACAAGACATTACCTTACCCTGTCAGAATGGCCATTATTAAAAAGTCAAAAAACAATAGATGCTGGTGTGGATGCAGAGAGACAAGAACAATTAAACACTATTGGTGGGACTGCAAATTAGTACCACCTCTGTGGAAAACAGTATGGAGATTCCTCAAAGAAATAAATGTAGACTTACCATTGGATCCAGCAATTCCACTACTAGGGATCTACTCAAAGGCAATGAAGTCATTGTATCAAAAGTCACTTGCACCAGAATGTTTATCACAGCACAATTGATAATTGCAAAGATGTAGAATCAACCTAAGTGCCCAAAAGTTCATGAGTGGTTAAAGCAAATGTGGTATATGTATATCTCATAGCATAGTACTCAGCCATAAAAAGGAATAAAATAATGTCTTTGCAGCAATTTGGATGGTACTGGAAACCATTATCCTAAGCAAAGTATCTCAGGAATGGAAAAACAAACACCACATGCACTCACTAATAATTGGGAGCTAAATCATGGGCACACATGGACATGAAGAGATGCAAAGGACATTGGAAACCAAGAAGGGGGGAGGTTGGGAGGGGGTGAAGGGTAAAAACTTTCCTATCAGGTACAATGAACACTATTCTGGTGATGGACACACTAATGGCCCCAACTTAAACATTATACAAGGTATCCATGTAACAAAAACATTTGTATCCCCTTAATATTTTGAAATAATTAAACACACACACACATACACAAATTCTCATTGTGAATATTCATCACCAAGGAACCAGCAGGTAAAAGTTTCAGGTCTTTTAAGATTAGAAAAAAAGAAATCAACAATTATAAAGAAGAGATAAGTATTAAAAGGGAGCATTCACTACTCAGAAATATAAACTAAATATACATTATTTTCATACATTTGTAATTTAATTTACTTGAAGGATGAACTTCTAAGTTGCCAAGAAAGCATAAAAATGCTAAAAATATTTTAATAAATATGATATGCATTGAAACATACTCATGTTTCTCACATGCTTCCCATAAAACTTTATCCCTGGGATAAATACCAACCTGAAATAACATTCACTTGGCTCAGATTTTTATGGGTATTAGGAACTTATTGAGTAGCCTTCATTTATTTTGAGAGCTGAAAGCTTGGTATTGCTTTTAGGTCAGTTGAAATGTGATTTGATGGAGAAGGAAGTTCCTAACTTAACCACTGTCTATTTTGAATTTAATGGCTTCTTTTATTAATAACTTCCTTGTATAGGCAGGCTCAATTGTTAAAAAAAAATCACGAGTTCCTAATTGGACAGTTAATCCTATTTTTTGCATGGGTAGTCAATTTAGTACAGTAGGAACCAGAGCAAGTGCTCACTGGATGGATTAGTTGAAGTGTTTGCCTGTAGTTTTCCCTGTTCCCATCATGTCGAGCTGAGAGGTCCCGACATGTACATTGTCAGACCAGCCTCACGGTTCAGAAGAATGGACAGTGATTGTTGGCAAACTTGGGAAGCTTTCTCTAACGCATTTTAATGATGGTACATACAATACAATCATTAGAGACATGTTTATCCACTCCTTTTAGGTGCTTTTAAGAAAGTAAGCACTTTCTATAGATTCTATAAATTGTCATTTATATTTATGTGTGAATTGAATTTTCAGATGGCATAATGAGAAAATAGTTCCTGCAGGTGGGGCTGCTAAAAGGGAGGCAAGTTACATAAAGGAGAATTGGAAAGCACTAGAGACAAGACTGCTGACTTCAGAACATAACATGAGTCTGCCTCTGGGAGGCAAAACTCTCCAGACAGAGATCTGGAAGTTTCTTGTGCTGGAGCAATAATACATGAAAGAAACACTGCGCTGTGCTCTCAAGGAGTGCATGCTCATTCCTCAAGAACTGGAATCCCATGCATCTTTTAATGCTTATTCACCTTCTTTAAAAAGCCACCTACTATATAGCAACACTTTAAAAACAGCCCTCAGGCTACAGCAAGGAACAATGTGGGCCAGCCCCACAAGGACTCCTGTCTTGGGTTTTGGGAGACAGCTTTCATCCTGAGTTGAGTTTGAGGCTGCAGGTCTGTATGGTAGTGGATTAAAATGAGCATCAGGTAACTTAATATCACCCTTGGGATAATAAGGAACACAGGAATTACTAGCGGCTTGATGCTCCTCATGGGGTGATTCAGACTGGACAGATAGAAATGTTCACAGAGCTGATTTAACACTCTGGACAGACTTAACTTTGTGTCATCTAGTGAGGTGTGACCAAGACTGAGTGACCAAGCAGTATGTGGAAAACAGAAAAAGAAGGACCCTAAGACTCATGGGGCTAGGATTGGCAAGAATAAATAGGATCACAGTGCCATTTTCTTTCTGTGTTTGCTGTACAGGAGAGGTCAAAGGTTCACAGGGGGTATAAGGGTGTCCTCACAGCCTTCTTTTAGACATTGTTCAATTTTCTGCTTTTAATTCCTTTGATTCAAAGTGGAGATTGGTGATATATAAAGTGTGGGCCCTGGAAGGGTTGGCTGTGAGGAGCAGGGACTGTTTGTCCCTAATCCACAAGAAAGTGAGGAACTTGCTCAGGACACATGACTGCTAAGTCACCAAGCACACTGCTTAGTCGCACTGAGACCTCCTCTGTGGACAAAGGAAGCAGCCTGTTGGCACATCTTTGAGCTAAAGCTTTTCATCACATCACTTCTGAGCAAAACTGATAAGATACTTTTAAATTAATCAAAGAATCACTCTGAAAAGTGCTTAGCATGCAATACAAACACTAACTTTAAAAATCTATCACATTCTCCTCTATGGACACATACTAATAGCTAACATTGTTTGGATGCTCATTAAATCCCAGGGTCGGCTATTCAGATGGCCCACTGGAACCACTGGTTCTGCATCTGCAGGTTCAAGCAACTGTGGGTTGAAAATATTTGGGGGAAAAAACATAATAAAAGATAACAATACAACAATAAACAATAATGCAGATAAAAACAATGTAGTAGAACAACTATTTACATAGCATTTATATTGTATTAGGCATCATAGATAATCCAGAAATAACTTAAAGTTTACAGAGGTGTGCATAGGTTATATGCAAATGAAACATTTTATGTAAGAGACTTACATAAAATTTTGGTACCTTCTGCAGTCCTGGAAGCAATCCCCTGCAGATACCAAAGGATGGCTATATCTACAACTTAACAAGGGAGGAACCCCAGGAAGTTGGAAGGTCTCCAACTTGCCCACATGTACAGCTAGTAATGGCTCAAAGCCTGGCCTGAGAATTAACACCACACTATAGTGGACATTCCTGGAGCAAATTATATATGATAAATCACATTTTATGTTTAATTTGCAAATGCCCAAATCTCAAAGATATATCAGACTCTTTTTTCCTCCCTTACTTTTAATTCTTCAGCTATTTCTAGCCTCCTACCATCTTTGATGTCCTCACTGTTACTACCCCAGGGCAGACTCTATTACTCCTCATCTGGTTTATTGCTGAGGCTCTGGAGTTGTCCTCCCACACCCCACAGTGCCTGGCACTTGAAACACTTTCTAAATATTGGCTGCTATTATTATTATTATATTATGGCACTATAGCTGTTTACATGCAAATCATATCTCATATGCTGGAGTCTAGACCATGTCACACATAAATGAGGATCTCAATGTATACTTGGTGAATTTATAGACAACAAATTTTATAAAACAGTTCTCAAAATAAGTTGCAAAGTAGAGATACAAATTAGCTAGTTAATCTTTATAAGCCAATATATCTTTGCTTTCTTCCACCAAAAAGTGCATTAGCTTTGTAAAAATTAAAGAATGACTATGGAAAGGAAACACTGAAAACTAAAGTTATTTCCTCCAATTCAAAATCAATGTCTTAACCTCCTTTTCCTATTGCTTCCCTTATAGAGATATTATGATGTCCCTTAGATGTCTTACTGCTGAAGGGCAAAAGAATGAGTTGGTGAATATCTGGCCAGGGGCAACTTTCTATGCCCAGAACAACTCGGCTTCAATCCGCAGTGCCTGGAGGAAGATGCTGAAGGTTGGCAGGAAAAACTAAAGGCACAGCTGAGACCTGCCCAGACAAACAACTGGAAATAAATAAAGTAAAGCATATTCCAGAGGTGGGTATGCAGAGTACCTGTACTATACTCAGTGGAAAACAAATTCTAGCAGTTAATTTTATGAATATGCCACAAATTTTTAGATCTACCCTTTTAGTGGGCTTTAAAATGTACTAACACAGACATTCTGAATAAAATATGGGCAAAAATGTCTTTACCTGAACTTGGTACTTTTATGCCTTTTTAGAGGTGGCAGCACAGATTCTGGAATAATGCGTACACAAATTGGCCTTTATGAAGTGTCCTGAAGGCTTTCTAGAATACTATTGAAGTCATTTTCTCTCTTGGTCAAGTCATAAATTAAAAATTAAGTCAGCATTTGTAGAAAATAAATTGAATTAGTTTAACAAGCAATATTATAAGATATTATTTTCTACCAATTTTTGGAATAATTCAAGAAGTAAGGAACAAGGGAGAGGGAGAGAAAAAGGCTTTTAAGAAAGAATGAAAAAGAAAGAGACAGCAACTGACAACAAAACCATTATAAACTAATATTTTGGTTTAGTTCAAAGAGAGTTAAAGAAAATCATTTTTCATATCATAGATGGCTAAAGAAACTTCACCTAAGCCATACCTGTCAAAAGAATATCTGCATGCACTAAGTAGTTTCTAGCAAGATGGTCTAATGGTGAATAAGAAGACAGTGAGAAGGGTCTGATACTTGAAAGGTCTTTGACAGTCTGTGGCTGATTGCTGATAGTGTTAGAATAGACTTATTATCAGCTTCTATGCACCTTATCAGAATGAACATGCCTCTTTGAAAATTAAAGTCTATGAAAAAGGACATCTTGTATTTCGTTTCTGACAGTTTTCCCTAAAATGCACATTTTACAAAAAAAGAGGAGAAACTCCTTATCATTTAAAGTACTTTTTCTATTGATTGATTAAGTTCTCTTCTCCCCTTTATGCAAGAGGGAAGAAAAAAAACCATGAAATATCTAGGTAGAGTCGAAAGCACATTGTTGGTATTATTCAATACTAGCATAGGAAAATCAGACCAGAGTATTTTAGATTTGGAACAAGGAGTATCATAAACCAAAAGAAAAACACAAACAGCAGGGATTTTTTAAGCTTTCTTTGTTTGTTCCTTTGTTAATATCTTGCTCTGCTAGGTTTACAAATCCTAAATAAATAGAAATTAGTGCTCCTTCCTTTGCAGTCCATTTGCTTTAGATGTTTGCCTTGAGGGACATTTGTGTATTCTGCTAATGGCTGCAGCAGAGTGCTGTCTCATTTTCATTCTGGCAAAAAAAAGGCCGTCACCATGGTTACAGTTTCATTTGCTAGAGAGAAACTGATGGCTGTTAGTGATCCCATCATAAGCAACTTCTGTCAGATTTCTTATCAAGTAGACATATTTTGACAAAGTGAAAGATAACACCGTAATAAGAGAACTGAGTTGCTACTCTATGTAATGAACCATTTAGCATTAAATGAAATGTGAAACCACGTTTTAAAAACTGAAGGTGGGAAGAAAAAGTAATATTTATAATTTACACACACACACAAAAGGAATATTCCACAGTAGAGTAATGATAGCTTGTTTTCTTTTTGTTGTCACAGTAACTCTACCAGGATAACGCTGATTTATATTGAGGGCTTCAGCAAACCATCATGCAGACACTCAGAGCTTGCAAGGGAAGATATTATGCCTCTGCTTTGACCATTTGCCTCAGTGGCAACCAAGGCTATGCCAGGAGCCAAATGCTAGGGTAGTAGGTCAAAATATAAAGTATTCTGATAAAAGACCCAGCCAAACACTGTGCCCATAATAGACTATAAATTTTTCTTGTTTTACAGAAAGGGTATTCCAATCCCAAAGTAGATAATTAGAATCAGTTGAAGCACCTTGTCCATGTATGATGTCCCCCAAAGACGGCCAAGATGACACGTGCTGATAGGAACACAGAGAAACATCTAGCCCCACAGCCTCCATGGAGGTGGCGGGGAAAGGGAGTTAGGGTTAGAAAAGTATGAATTTAAAGCCATTAAGCAAAGCCCCTGACAGTGTGATCTATTGGATTGTGGACTGGGCATCTAATGGACACAATTCATGCTATTAATATTTTCTAAAATTTAAAAGTAGAGACTGTTTTATGAAAATCTCATAAGGAAAAGTACTAAATGTCTTCTTTTTCCAACTTTTACAGTTTGCCTCTGTCTTTGCTTATAATGTAATCTAAGCAATGATAAACAGAGTAACGATTGTATGTCCAAAAAAAAAAAAAAAAAGGTTGGCCCTTTTACATGCAAGATAAAAGGATAGAATTTCCCACAATTACCATTCCTGTTAGCACAGAGGTATGGAACTGCTCATTAAAAATGCCTGTTTGTGGGCAGGTGGCACCTGTACCCCAGCTATCAGGAGGCTGAGGCAAGAGGATCCCTTAAGGCCAAGAGTTCCAGGCTGCAGTGCACTATGATCATGCCTGTGAGTAGCCACAGTAACAGCCTGGGCAATATAGGGAGACCCATCTCTGGAAGAAAAAATGTCCGTTTGGTAGATTCTCACAGACTTTAGGTGTGGGAAATATAAAAGTAAATATTTCTATTTACTTTTCTGTTTATTGTTTATGCAAGATTTTTCACTACAAATGAATGAAAATATATAGGGTAAAATACAGTTTCAAAGTGTATTCTCTTTTCAGTTTTAAAGGACAATTGTTTTATTTTATACTGCTTCATTTTGTTTCATTTTATATTTTATCTTATCAATGAGTGATTAAGGAGTACAAACCTTGCCAAGAAGTAATTTGGATGGGATCTGTTTCTTCCTAAACATGTGTTTTTTCCATGTTGGAAAGTCTCTACCTGTGATATATCCACAGATGTGTGCATAGGAAATGCAGAGACGATCATGAAAAACACTGGTAGTTAGTATGACAGAGAACTACCACATTAACAGCCAGTAATAGAAATGTACTGTAGCTAAAGCCATATACTGACAACAACGTACTTTAGAAGTCAATGCTCTTTTTGATAATTTTGAAATTATCAGTCATTACACCATTCTCTAAAATATAGTATTGCAAGAAGTTTACCAAGTCACACAGTATCTGCACTTTTAAATATCCATTTCTAAACCCTTATAACACTGCCGAGTGACACAGTGTTTTTAATGAACATAAATATAATTATTTGTGTTGTCAAGGGAACCTTAAAACGCATGCACTCATTTTTCTTGTAAGGTTCAGAGGAATGTTTTTCTTAACTTAGCCTAATTTAAAAGAGATGTCTTATTCACTCAGTAGCCAATCGAGGATAAGAGATCTTGGTTTCAAAGTTTATGTTATATCAGGTAGCCTATTACACAAAATGATATATTATTACATTTTAATTCAAAGAATACAATACCTTAGATTTATAGAGCACAAAAGAGATCAAATCACTTTATGAATGTTACGTAGCAACAGCTCATCTATGGTTGTCTAACAAAAACGTGAACAAATCAAGGATGTACAACTTGCAATAGAGTTCTCCCTCAATTACAAAATAGCATTGTTTTTTGCTATTGTTGAAAATGTTGAACATAAATCCCAGTTTTCCTGGTCACATACAATAAATTGGAAATTGTTTACAAAAGAAAGAACATTTTCAATGGAAAAAGCAGTAAGCAAATAAAATAGTACGATGGTACATGATCCCTAGCCGGGGCTTTGCCCCAAGGACATCTGCTCCTGGCATGGTTTTCAGCTAGGAGAGGAATTCCTGGAATCAAAACGCTCAATTTAATACTTCTTTTAGATAAAGATAGATCTCACATTGCCTCTCTGC